GGGTTGTGACCTTTACCCTTTGTTGGCTATAAATATAGAGGTTTTCTCTCATTTTTCTGTATCGAATTCTTCTCTTCTTTTGCATACATTTCTTACAAAACAAAATCGATCGATCGTGTCTGTGTGTGTGATTCGTTGCTGTCATTTTGAGTTCGTTGAAATTATCGAAGTTTGAGGTACCACTACTTCTTTAATGGTTAATCCGTTTTATCTTGGGAGGAATTAATCTGCAACCTTGGGTACTTGAGGGGATTAAATTTCTTAAGGACACACAGTGGGTTCTGTGGACTCGGATAGTTCTTTGTGTTTTTCTTTTCATCTTTTATTATTTCTGGTTTGCTAATCTGAATACAGGAGATAACAGTAGGCGCCATCATGACTCGAGGAATCAGGTCGTGACACACTCCCTGTTTCACCCCTGTCTGGGTCACAAGGTATCAATCCACCTCTCCTCATAAACTCCAAATACAATTCTTCAAGTGCCGTCAGTGGAGGAGTAGAATCGTTGGGTCTTGAAGACAACTAGATACCGTTGCTCTAATTGGGATTATTATTATTATCATCACTATTAGTCTTAAGATTAACCTTTTCGGCGTTATCATCATTTATCATCAGTAATTTAGTTATGGTTTTAGGGTCGCGATACATCGTTGCGGCCTTATCATAAGCCATAACAGCTTGTTCTGGTGTATCGAATGTCCCAAGCCAGATGTGTGTTTGCTGGATGGGTTCTGTAATCCTAGGTGCATATCACCCGAATCCTCTCTTACTTACACCTCTGTATCGCACCTCGTTTGGAGGTACAACCATCGAAAGAAAAGACTTAATGAGTATAATAGATATGATAATAAGGAGAAAACGGGAGAAATAATAGGACTTTTTTTAGTTGATATATTAATATATTTATTATCTAAATCATGGTTAGAGATATATTTTCTTTAATTAAATTTTAGCCATTAAATCTAACATATGCCATATGTCATTAATCAAAGCTAGAACTTGGGGGAAATGGAGACAAGGGAAATGGAGAGGACCCGGATCCCAATATTTTAAAGGCCAAACTTTTTTTTTATTGTGAATTAGGGCATACAATATATAAGTAACAATGAATGATAATATAAAATATTTAAAAGTCATATGAATAAATTACAATCAAATCCTTTTTAATTTGACTCTAACAACCAAATTCTATGTCATATAATATTGGGACGAAGGAAACTAATAGTAGTTCTCAAATATGCAATTTTTAAATTTTTTTTGAAGAATCTATAACCGACCTCATAGTCAAATTAAATATTTTGACTCACATACTCCAAATACTTTCACATAAGTCGAGACATAATGAGCAGTTATGTGCCTTTTATCACATTATTCATTCTTGAAAACTCACTTTTCATGAGAAGTATAAAACACTTTGAAAAATAATAATGTACTATCTAGTATTTGAATTTAGAACAT